GCACCGCCTGCTCCTTACCCTCGTCCTGCCAGGTGGGAGAAATCCCATTAATAGCCGCAGCCAGAGCCGCTTCCTTCCTTTGTGTTGGAGAGAACCTGGCCACCAGCCAGGTGCTGACAAGCCCCCTGACAAGCCCCATCTCCCCATGAACTCAGCTGGGGGGGTGCGGGGCTGGGGCTGCCCAGCTCCTCATGCTGCCCCTCTCCCCAGATGATCCAGACCAGCCGGACGCTGATCGAGTCTGCCGACGTGGTGTACGGGAAGCTCATCCAGGCACAGCAGGCAGGTGGGTCCCTGAGGGCAGCCCCAGCCCCGGTGTGGCTCTGGCCACAAACCTGGGCACGTCCTGGGGTGCTGGGGTGTGGACCTTCCTGCGCCGGGACAGGGTGTGGGTGGGTGGGCTGCAGGGCTGTGTGGGAGGGAACGAGCAGAGCGGGGGAGGCTGATGAGGAAGGGGGGAAGAGTCATTAGCTGCCAAATGCCAGAACATAATTAGTGCCAGAAATAACAGGCTGGGGCTGACGGTAGAAGTGGCAACTGAGTGTTACGACTTCCCAGACACATGGCAGAACCCACACAGGCAGGTGCTGCTGCTGCCTGCCCCAGTCCTCCCCCCGGCTGCCCCCACCACAGCAGCTGGCTGGGACCCCCAGCTTCGCTCCAGGCCCTGATGGCTGCGGGGCCCCTCTGTGGGCTGGGACCTGCAGGGATAGCTCCACCAGCCCCAAGTACATAGGGGGGTGCTGCCCCAGGGGCTCGTGTGGGCCCCCCATGAGGCTGGGAGAGCCTCAGGAGCTGGAGGGACAGGGGAGGAAGGAGGGGGCCCCGCTCTGCCGTCCCCCCATGCCAGCCATGCTGCCAGCAGCCCTGTTTGTTCCCTCCCTACGCGGCAGACGGAAACCTCCCTGAGCTCTTGGCTTTCGGCTCCGGCACCGCTGCCAGCGCTGAGGGAGTGGAGCAGTGGGGCATGGGCTGCGGAGCACAGGCTCTGTGCCCTCCTCTACTGCTCCAGCTGCTGTGCTGGGGTGTCGCAGGGCAAAGGGTCCTGGGGTGTGTGGCCTCTCAAGGTGGTGGCAAGCAAGAGTTTTGGCGTTGCAGCCCCCACCCCCATGCCCTGGTGCTCTCTGTCCCTGCTTTCGCCTGGGCTGCGCTGTGGACAAGCCCCTGTGGTGCTGGCATGGCCAGTACCCAGACAGCGGGTGTTGGGGGGTCTGGGGAGGTGCGGCTGCAGTGGGGGTGCGGGGCTGGGGGCGTCTGATTGGCAGCATGTGGGCGAGCAGGCTGCGTGGGAGCCCTCGAGTGGGCCTGGAGACGGTGCTGCGTCAGGAGGGGTAAATATAGCACCTGCTCACGAGGATGTCACGTGGTGCACGGTGCCGGGGCTCACACTACAATGGGGGGGCCTGGTGGGCCTGCTCTGAGCCCCCTGGGTGAGCCATGGGGTGCAAGAGCTGTGCCTCTGCCCATGGCCCAAAACCGCCACGGGCTGGGGCCAAGCAGGGTGCCAGTGTGCTGGGGGCTCTGCTGGCTCATCGTGCCTGGCACAGAAGGGTTTTGGGGCTGCTGGGGCAGTGGGGAACCCACCCAGCCTGCACCCCCATGGTGGGCAAAGGGCATCCCTCTGGCTTGGTCCCCACTGGTGGTGGCCATCCCCATGCCAGCATCCCTGCACTTACTGAGCACCACTCCCACCTGCGCAGGGATGGATTTCCACAAGGAGCTGCACCGCATCGAGACCAAGGAGGGGCTGCGGGGCCGCAAACTGCAGAAGGCACTGGAGAGTTTTGCCTGGAACATCACCGTCCTCAAGGTGAGGGCTGAGAGCTGCACAGACACACCTGTCCTGCCCTGACACCTCACCCTGATGCCTTCACTCTAACACACCCCTCCCGATGTCCCTCCCCTCAGGGCCAGGCTGACCTCCTCAAGCACGCCAAGGCGGAGGCACTGGACAACCTGTGGCAGATCCACAATGCAGGACAGTCCTGTGGCATCGGCAGGAACGGCTCGGCCTCACCAGAGCTCTCCCGGCTGCGTGCCCCGCTGGAGCCCATCCCCGAGACCGACGGAGGCGGCGACACGGCGTCCTGCTGACCCCGGCCTGGGGCTCAGGGGCCCAGACTGAGCATCCCCAGCCACAGGAGCAGGAGTCCCAGCCTGCCCATGGACAGGCAGCTGCCTGCAGGCTCAGGCTGCCTGGGGGGACACATCTAGAGCCTGTGCTAAGGGGCTGCATCAGGGCTCAGTGGAGAGGTTGAGGAGGGGTGATCCTACTCCTGCTTGCCCCCCCTGAGCTCCTAGGGGACACATCCATCCCTCCCACCTGCTTCCAGAGCCTGCACTCTGCTGCAGGGCTGGTGGGGATACTGGTACTCTGGTGCCCGTGTGTGCGTAGCCTGCTGTGCCAGATTCTGCTTGGAAAAGCAGCTCCAGGTTTGGGCTCCTGCCCTCCCTCCCCAGGGCTGCAGGTCTGACCTTTGCCAGCCCTGGGGAAAAATCTGGCTGGCAGGAAGGGTCCTGGCTAGTCCTATCACCTCTGTGGCACCCCTGGGGCCCCCACTGTGCAGAGGGGCTGGGATGCTATGTGGTGCAGCAGCTGTGGGGCCAGAGTGCCAGTGGATGTGGCTTCTGGCATCAGGGAAATGTTGGGATTTGTCCCCCAGGGCAAGGGGGTCCCAGCACAAACAGAGGAGTGTGGTCTGGGGTTGGAGTGGGGCTGTGGAGCATTATAAAGAGTGCAAGAACCTTCCTGGTGCCCTGTGGCTCCCTCTGTGCCTGGCACGGGGCCAGGGCAGGATGGGGTCACCAAAGGGGATGGAGGGTGGCACCGGGTATGGGACCCTGATGGCACCATCCCTCCCTGGCACCATGGGGAGCACAGGATGATGACTCCCCACGTCAGGGAGCTGTGCTGCTGCTAGCACCCCTTTGTTTGGGGGGATAATTAGCCTAATGGGGCTCCCAGCATCAGCCTGGAGCGCTGTGCTGCCGGTGCCGGTCAGTATTGACCTCCAGCCCCTTTGTGCCAGCCCGGCCACAGGGCCTGTGGGCAATTAGGGCCTCATTAGTGCCTGGCACCCCAGCCACTGAGCACCTACACAATGAGGAACTGCAAATGAGGGGAAAGGCCTGGATGGTCTCCGGGCTACCGGCCCCAGCGCTCCTGTGTCTCCCAGAGACCGTCTGCTCCCCCTGCCCCAGCGGTATTTTTGGCAGCACTATTGTGCTGGGCCCTATAAAGCGGCAGCAGCAGCACAGGGCACTGTGCTCTCAGCTGCCCAGTGGGACATGCCCCAGAGCCACTCGGCTGCCTGAAGACCCCAGGAAGGATGGAGGTGCCAAACACCAAGGTGGGGCTGGGGCACTGCAGCCCCAGGGGTAGAGGAGGGCAGTGATGGGAGGGAGGTCAGGATGTGGGACTGGGGGTGCAGGAGGGCCTGGCCAGTTCCTTGGGAAGCTCCAAGTGTGTGGCAAATCCCCAAGGCTCCCCAGCTGCGGCCAGCAGCTGATCAAGGAGCTTCTTATGAGGGATCTGAGTGTGCAATGCCTGTGGCATTGAGCTTGGGTACTCTCACTGCTCATCCCATGGCACTGGGCAGCAAGGGGAGGGTGTTTGCCATGGCTGCCGTGTGCTGGAGCAGGGAAGGGGTGTGGTGAGGGCACCAGCATCTGGCTGCTGGTCAGAGCACAGCTGGAGGTGCTGGCCATGCCCCAGGGCACCAAAGGGTGACACTCTGAGTGCACCTCGGGTGTGGGGCTGGGACCCTGTGGCAGCAACTGGGCAGGGGGCAGCTGAGACACCAGTGGGCAAGGCAGGACAGGGGGGCAGCCCTGGGGCTGTGCACTCTCCCCCTCTCTGCACTGTCACTGCCCCGTACTAATGCTGCCCATTGCTCTGGCAGCTCCAGCGAGCTTCCTGCCTCCTGCTCCTGCTCCTTCTCTGCTCCCTGGCCGCTCCCCGGCAGAGCCTGCCCGACTGCTGCCGGCAGAAGACCTGCTCCTGCCGTGTCTACGACCTCCTGCACGGCATGGGCAACCACGCCGCTGGTATCCTCACTCTGGGCAAGAGGAAGAGTGTCCCCCTGGCCTTCCAGAGCCGTCTCTACCGCCTGCTCCATGGCTCCGGCAACCACGCCGCGGGCATCCTCACCATGGGCAAGCGTGGGGAGCACCTTGGCACCGCCTGCCGTGACACATCGAACTGCCCTGCAGGCGTGGACACCCAGCCAACGCCAGCACCGCAGGGTGCTGACACCAGCCCTGCCGGCCCCAGGGAGTGCCAGGGACACTCAGGGAAGGACCTGAGCACGAGCCAGGCCCAGGGAGCGGCAAGGAGCTTTTACTGAGCGGGGTGGGGGGCAATGGGAGCAGAGAGGGGATCCCTGGGGGGGATGGAATCCTGGGACACGCACCCGGAGCTCAGTGTAAATAGCACTTTTAGATACCTCCTCCCTGGCTCAGCCTGCCCAGGGCACCGCGGGCACCGCAGCCTTTTACAATAAACGGTAGCCTGATGTCACCCGGCTCTGTCGTCTCTCTGGGGAGGGGTCAGGAGGGCACGGCTCAGCGCCGGGTCAGCTGCCGAGGCAAGTGCCTTCCTCCGCGGTGCCCGGACTGGGCTCACCTGTGGCGCCTGCCCTGGGGCGCCAGTGGGTGCAGGACCAGGACTGGGGTGAACGGAGGCGCGGACGGTCCTGCCCCTTCCTCAGCGTCCGTGGGCCCAGGAGGGCGGGGGCTGAGCGGGTCCTGGGGCCAGGGGAGTCCTGGTGCTTCCCGGCCCGGCGGGTCCGGTGCCGAGCAGGTCCCGGCGCCACCAACTCTGTGCGCCCCCGGGACCGAGCGCCCTGCCCGCGGGCGGCGGCCGGTGCCCGCCGGTGCCGAGGCCCCTCCCGGTGCCGGGGCGGGGCGAGGGCGGGGCAGGAGCCCCGGGCGGGCCGGGATCAGCCCGCGGCGCTGCGGAGGGGCCGGGGGCGGCGGAGGCAGCCCCGCCGCCGCAGCCCCGCGGCGGGCGGCCGGGCGGGACGATGCCGGTGATGAAGGGGCTGCTGGCGCCGCAGAACACCTTCCTGGACACCATCGCCACCCGCTTCGATGGCACACGTAAGGCCGGGACGGGGCCGGGGAGGGGCCGCGGGGGCGGGGGGGAGACAGGGCGGGGGGAGGCGCTGCCCCGCAGGAAACGGCCGGGGGGACGGGACTCGGCCCGGCCCCCGCAGCCCCCGCGGCTCGGCCGGACGCGGACACCCACGCGCTCTTCGGGGACCCTCCCGTGTCCCTGTGCGGCCTCGGTACACCGGGACTCCCCCTGTCCGTGTCCCGGGCCGCCCCCACGATGCTCTCCCCGCGCCCGCCGCCGGTGCCGCTCGGTGTCGCCGCAGCCGCGCTCAGCACCAGGGACAGATCCCGGTGGCGGCGGGAGGCTCCGCGCGGGGCCCCGGAGGAGCGGGGGAACCCCGGATGGGGCACGGCCGGTCTCACCCTGCCGGAGCTGACCTGGGATCCCCGGGACCCCGCGTTGCCCCGTCCCGTGCCCGAGCGGTCCCCGGGCGCTGAGCTCCCTCCCCTCCGTGTCCGTGTGCCGGGGCCGGGATGGATTGAAGGCGGGATGGATCATGCCCGGGTGCCACGAGCCAGCTCCAGCACCGCTGGCATCATGCAACCACCCAGGGTCGGGCCGTGTTCGGGGCTGACCTCAGCTCCCCCCAGGATCACCTGGAGTAGGGGTCTCCCGGGCCAGCTGCCTGCGGGGCTGGGTTTCTCCTCCCTTGCTGGGAGGGACTGGTGTGAAGATGGCACTTTTAGTCTGCAGCTACCTCCCAGGGCACCGTCGAGGAACCTGGAGCACCCTGGGGCATGTGCTGGCTGCGATGCTGGGCTGGCTCCTGGCCTGGAGTGACAAGGAGCCGCCCTGTTGGCTCAGGGGTCGTTTGCCCAGAGGAGCTGGGACGTGGGATGTTACATTTGGGGTGTGATGCGTGAGGAGGCTGCTAGCCTCTGAGCTTTCCCAGGCTCCGACAGAGCTGCGCCAGGAGATGCTGGGACAGAGCCACATGTGCCTTGCGCTGGTGATCCCACTCCCTCCGCAGAGGCAGAGCGCCTGTATCTGGCTCTCCAAGGGAAGGGTCTCCGGGGGGAGCTGCCGGCAACACCTCGACGCAAAGCCCTGGGAATTTGCCCCGGGGAACCGGGCTGCCCGACCGCCTCTGGGCACTTTTAAACAGTGTGGGGCTTTGCGGGTTTGATGTGCCTCTTATCGGCTTTATCTGCCATAGAGAGGGGTTTAGCGCAGTGATACTCGGAGTGAGTTAACCCTGCCTCTCCCGGGCAGCTGCTGTGCTGTGCCCCGGGGCTCCCGGCCAGGCACACTGGCCACCATGGCTGGGGACTGCCGAGCTCTCCCAAGGCTGCATCCCCCAGCTCGGTGGAGCCACTCCCCAGTGCAAACCCTTGTTTTCTTTTCTAATAACACATCCTGGACATCACCATAATCCCAGCTCCCCAGAGCCAAAATCTGGCCTTAGTCACAGCTTCAGGCTATTTTTGCTTCTCCGAGCTAATCCCGGGCTGAGCTGCGCTGTGGTGGCCCCGCTGCACCCCCTTCGGCCAAGGCTGCCCACAGCCACCATCCCCTCCCTCCTGCGGCCTCTGCTGCCCTTGGCCTGCCCTGGCACCACTCTGCCTGTTCAGTGTGGACACTGGTATTGCTGTGGACTCCTCTCTGTTGTGAGAGTGGGCACAGCATGTTTTCTTGCTCCTGGCTGTGTGGTGCAGGAGTCCTGGGTGGGGGACCCAACACTGGAGACCATGGTGGGGCTGGGGACAGCCCAGTCTGCTCATGCTGGGTGCAATCACAGCCCATGCCAGCCGCACACTCGCTTCCTTGGCACCCTGCTAGTGTGAGCCCATCTGTCCCACTGGCATAGAGCCTGCAGCAGGAGCTGCTGTGGTCCCGGGACAGAGCCCACGGCTGGGGACTGCAGGGCAGAGCTGCCATTCTGTAGCTGGGCAGGGCATGGGGCTTGCAAGGGCTTTACTGTGCCTGGTGCCACCTCCCTGCTAGGGCAGGGTGATGCTGGGGAGGCTCTGTGGTGCTGACAGACTGAGGATGCTGTAGTTCACCTCTGACTCGTGCCACCTGGGCACAAGCCCTTGATTTCGCCCAGGCCTGTGGCTGTTCTCCCACCCTCTCAGCTGGTGCTCCAGCACCCCAGACCTCTGGGGATCTCAGCACCACAGCTGGGCACCCCTGGGCTGGCAGTGCCCAGCTGTGTTTGCTGCCGCTCCCGCTAAGCTGCCTGAGCCCGGGCGGAGCTGGAGTGGCAGATGGTGAGAGGGAGGCGTGAGTCGCCTCGCGTGGGCAATGGGGGCCGGCACATGGATCCGGGCTACTTCCCCTTCCAGTGCATGGGGCCGGGGTCCTGCCGGGGTGACAGCCTCGGGGGGCAGTGGGGCAGGGGATGGGTGAGCTCTAGGAGCAGCTAGGGGCAGCCAGCAGCCAGATGGAGACCTGGCTCTGCTTCCCAGAGGGACCCGTGTGGGGCTGGGAGTGCTGGGCAGGCTGGGCTGCCCTTTGTGCCCTGTGAGGTGGCCCTGAGCCCTCAGGGGCGGCTGCGTTTCCTTTCAGACAGCAACTTCATCCTGGCAAACGCACAGGGCCGCTGCGGCTTCCCCATCGTCTACTGCTCTGACGGCTTCTGCGACCTCACCGGCTTCGCCCGCACAGAGGTCATGCAGAAGAACTGCAGCTGCCGCTTCCTCTGCGGGGCCGAGACCAGCGAGCCCATCCTGCAGTGCGTTGAGAAGGCGCTGGACGACAGGCAGGAGTACCAGTCCGAGGTCTGCTTCTACAAGAAGGGTGGTGAGTGGTGCTGGGGCTGGGTCCCTGCCCGCAGCTCCGGCTGGCCCTGGGAGAAGCCACCGAGCAGGTGGTGCTGCCCTGCCTTAACCAGCCTCTTCCTTCACGCAGGAGATGCCTTCTGGTGCTTGCTGGACATCATGCCCATCAAGAATGAGAAGGGGGAGGTTGTTCTCTTCCTCTTCTCCTTCAAGGACCTCACAGAGAGCCGGGGCAGGAACCACCCGGGGGACAAGAAGGAGGGTGAGCCGTGGCTGTGGGATGGGGTTGGAATTTGGGGAACAGTGTGTGTGGTGGGCACATGGCAGAGACTCCCTGTTCCCTGGTGGGTCCTGCCTGCCATGTACACCCATGGCACAGCGCTCCCACTAACTCGGTGTGTCCTGTCTGCTGCAGAGAAGCAGAGGAACAAGAAGCCTGGGAATTCCCGCCTGCGGGCCGCACGCAGGCAGGGCCGGACTGTGCTGCACCGACTCAGCAGCCAGTTTGGGACCACAAACCAGAGGGACCGCGGCGAGGTGAAAATCAACCGTGTAAGGACCTGGGGGACCCTCAGCTTCACCCAGTGCCTCCTGGGCTGGGGCTGGGATGGACTGGCAGTGCAGCAGCTCTCCCGGAGAGCAGCTCCCAGCAGAGCCCAGCCTCCCGGGGATGCTGTTCCCATGCACGCCCATCTCTGGCCTCCCCAGCATTGAAGTGCCCCCCACCCCTGGCAGCTGCACCGTAGCCAGGCTGTACATGTGTTTGGTTGGAAGCAGGAGAGCCCAGCGGGTGCCCAGAGCTTACCATGGGGGCCGCAGACCTGGCAGCTCTGGCAGGGCTGTGCCTCTCCTCACATGCTTGCTGTCAGGGAACCCCAGTGCTGCCTCTGAGCACAGCCACGCTGGCCCCAGGGAGTGCCGTTACCAGGCTGCCAGAGCCGTGGGGCTGCCAGCCGGGGCAGGGATCAGAGTCAGTCCTGTGCCAGGCCCTTTGCATGGCTGCAGTGCCCAACACAGTGTCCCCAGGCACCACCTGCAGCCATGGGGCCAGAGAGAGGGTCTGAGAGCCACTGGGGCCCAGAGCTGGTGAGCAGGCAAAGGGTGTCACTGCATCAATCTTGAATTTTGGGGATTTGGGGTGGGATGGCCCTGGCTCTGCCCTCACCCAGCTGGTGTCACATTGCCTCTTGTTGGTGCTGTGTCCCTGCAAGGGGGCGTCTTTGCCCCAGCATGTGAATTGACCCCTGAGATGGTTCTGGGCAGCAGCTGGCAGTGCCAGGGGATTACTGTTATCAGCATTGACATCATGTTAATTGATGTGCCATAATTAGGCATTCTGTGCCCACCTCTGAGGGTGACCTCAGTGCATCCATCACCCTGGTATCAGGGAGTGGCAGCCAGACTGGCAGGACTCAGGGGGAGCGGGGCCTGTGGTGGCCCTCAGCCCTCTTTCGGGCCCTGCACCATCCTTGTACCACCCCATGCTTGCTCCCCCAGAACGTGTTTGAGGGCAAGCCATCCATCCCCGAGTACAAGGTGGCCTCGGTGCAGAAGTCCCGCTTCATCCTGCTCCACTACAGCATCTTTAAGGCACTCTGGGACTGGCTGATCCTGATGGCCACCTTCTATGTAGCCGTCACTGTCCCCTACAATGTGTGCTTCATGGGCATGGAGGACAGTCTCTCGGCTGCCCGCAGCACCATCATCAGTGACATCGCCGTGGAGATGCTCTTCATCGTGGGTAGGTCCATGTGTGGAGCCAAGCATCCATCCGGGATGGGGGACACGGTGGGACAAGAATGAGGGATAAGGGAGAGGGGAACTGGCATCGCGGTGTCCCTGCTGCTGTCCCTGAGCACTCTGGGAGAGAGACCCACATTTGCTGTGGGCTCTGGCTCAGCTCCACAAGCCACAGCAGGGGTGATGAGGGCTGGTCCTCCTCTCCTGGGGCAGACATCATCCTGAACTTCCGGACAACATACGTGAGCCAGTCAGGCCAGGTGGTGTACGACCCCCGCTCCATCTGCATCCATTATGTGGCCACCTGGTTCTTCGTGGATCTGATCGCTGCTCTGCCTTTCGATCTGCTCTACATCTTCAATGTGACTGTGGTGAGTGTCGCTGGCACAAACGCAGCCTCCGATAGCAAAGCTGCTGCTGCCCGCTGCCCCTCCCACTGCCCACCTCCCTGCCCCTCTCCAGCACCCACGTGTCCCGGGGGGATTCATTGCCCTGACAAGCCATGACCCTGGCTACCTGCTGGGTGCTGAGCATGGGGGTGGAAAGCTGCTTGGGGAGGAGCTCTCCCCAGCAGGCCCCATAGCCCACGACCCTCCTGCCATCTGTGGGAGCGGCAAAGGGTCCCTGTCCCGGGGAGAGGTGTTGGGGTCCGTTTCTGCCCCTGCCTGTAGCTCCGCAGGGTTTACCTGCCTGCCTGCCCCCCAGACCTCGCTGGTTCACCTGCTGAAGACGGTGCGGCTGCTGCGGCTGCTGCGGCTGCTGCAGAAGCTGGACCGGTACTCGCAGTACAGCGCCATGGTGCTCACGCTGCTCATGTCCATGTTCGCGCTGCTGGCGCACTGGCTGGCCTGTATCTGGTACGTCATCGGCCGCAAGGAGCTGGAGAGCAACGACCCCCGCACCTGGGAAATCGGTGAGCGGGTTTGGGGCGCTGGGGTCCCCCCGTGCCGCGGGCAGAGAGCACTCCTGTGGGGCAGTGGTGACGGGGATGCAGCCCTCACCACTGGCTGCTGCCTGCAAAGTGAGGCCAGGGCAGGGACAGCCCCGAGGAGGGGGGTACTGGCCCCTCGGTGAGGGCTAACCCCGGGCTGTGCTTGGCAGGCTGGCTGCACGAGCTGGGCAAGAGGCTGGAGGCTCCGTACTTCAACAACTCGATGGGGGGCCCCTCCATCCGCAGCACCTACATCGCCTCCCTCTACTTCACCCTCAGCAGTCTGACCAGTGTGGGCTTTGGCAACGTCTGTGCCAACACCGACGCTGAGAAGATCTTCTCCATCTGCACGATGCTCATCGGGGGTGAGGCGGGGAGCGGGGCTGGGCGGGGGGTTCATCTCTGGCTGCTGAAACAACGGGTCCCGAGCAGGGTGCTGGGGGAGGTGATGGACACGTGTGCCACGTGAAACAGCCCTGGGCTGGGGTCTGGGGAGCAGCCTCCTGTGCTGCCCCTCACTGGGCCTGACGCTGCTTTGCTGCCCCCAGCCCTGATGCACGCCGTGGTCTTCGGCAACGTCACGGCCATCATCCAGCGCATGTACTCCCGCCGCTCGCTCTACCACACCCGCATGAAGGACCTCAAGGACTTCATCCGCGTCCACCGCCTGCCCCAGCAGCTCAAGCAGAGGATGCTGGAGTACTTCCAGACTACCTGGTCGGTGAACAACGGCATCGATGCTAACGAGGTAGGAGGTGTTGGTGAGGCTGGGCCAGCCCCCTCTGGCCCAGTCCTGTACCCAGCACGGGGGTGATGGGGCTGGCAGGGCCGGCTGTGAGTGTGGCGCTGGAGGGACCAGGTCTGGGGCTGATTCCTGCCAGCACAGGGAGAGGGACAGGCACACGGAGCAGAGGAAGCCCACTGCCACATCCAGGGCCCTTCTCTGTCAGCTGGGACTGCTGGGTTCTGCCAAGGCACCAGGGCAGCCAAACAGAGAGATTCCCTGATCCAGAGGGGCACCTGTCCCCTGGGACTGCAGGGCTGTGGGAAGGCTTCTCCCTGCTCCCTCCCTGCCTGCTGTGCCCAGTGCCCTGGCTCCTCTCCTCAGCTGCTGCACGACTTCCCCGATGAGCTGCGTGCGGACGTGGCCATGCACCTCAACAAGGACATCCTGCAGCTGCCCATCTTCGAGACAGCCAGCCGGGGCTGCCTCCGCTCCCTCTCACTCCACATCAAGACCTCGTTCTGCGCCCCGGGGGAGTACCTGCTGCGCCAGGGTGACGCGCTGCAGGCCAACTACTTCGTCTGCTCCGGCTCCCTCGAGGTGCTCAAGGACAACGTGGTCCAGGCCATCCTGGGTGAGGGCAGGCGGCGCGGGCTCTGCCCCAGCCCCTCCTGCTGCCTGGCAGGGTGAAGGCCCCAGGGCTCACACCACTAGCCCATGCTGGTCCCCTCCTGCAGGCAAAGGGGATTTGATCGGTGCTGACCTGTGCAGCACGGACCAGGTGATCAAGACCAACGCGGATGTGAAGGCGCTGACCTACTGTGACCTGCAGCACATCGGGCTGCGGGGGCTCTGCGAGGTGCTGCAGCTCTACCCTGAGTACGCCAGCAAGTTCACAGCCGACATCCACCAGGACCTGACCTTCAACCTGCGGGAGGGCAGCGAGATGGAGGTGGGTGCATGCCCTGTCTCGCAGGACTCTTCCTGTTCTCGTGGCCCCAGGGACCAGAGCAGGGCCGGGACTGTGGCAAGGCCATGGAAGGGGAGTCTCTGCACCCCCTGCTCATGGTCCCCAGGCTCCAAGGCTGGGGTGGGGGCTGCGGCTCTGCCACCTCTGTGTGCAGGTACACACTGCCTTAGCTCTGTGCAACCTGGGGAATTGGCAGAAAGAGCATTTGCAATGCAGGAGGCTGAGGCGGAGGGAACTGGGGGGGCACTGCAGGATAAGGCAGCTGGGGCACAGCCCCCCAGAGTGCAGGAGAGAGCCGGGGGCTGCAGGTTTAGTCATGCTGATGGCTTCAGCAGCTGGGGGGATGTTCTGTGGCAGAAATGGCTCTGCAGCACTTTTCCTCCCCCGGCTCTGCTGTGAGAGGCTGGGGGCTCCTCCAGAGCATCTCTCCCAGTACCCACTGCCCACAGGCCCGGTGGAGATGGGGTAGGAGGTTGCTCTCTAGGTCCCAAATCAAGACCCACCATGTCCATTGCACAGGAGAGGTGTAAACAAATCAGGGGTGGAGAATGCCAGGAGTGTGCACCAGGTCCTGCAGAAACCCTGTCACCCTCCTCATCTGGCTGCACCCTCCAGGCAGAGATGGTGCTCTGATGGTTGAGCCTGGGATGGGATTTAGGATGAAGTCTTGGCTCTGGCTCAGGCAGTTCACCATTGTCACGGCAGCAGCAGAGAAAGGAGAGTGGGCAAGGGGCTGCCGAAGGCTGGTGCTGGGGCTGATGTGTGCAGCTGGAGGAGGTTTGGCTGTCCAAGGGGGCACCGGGAGGCCGGGAGGCTGCGACCTGTAGCTGGTCTCCGTGTAGCCGTGTGGGGGTCCCACCTGCTGCTGAGCCGGTGCCGTCTGCTCTCTCCGCAGGGGCTCTGCCGCTACTCCCGGTCCCCGCGGCTGCCGCAGGTATAGTACCGTGCCAGGGCGATGGGGGAGGACGGGGCGGGGGTGATCGTTCCCGGGACCAGCCCTGACTTCCTGCCCAACCGCAGCCTCGTCCGGAGAGCGGTGCTGCCCCGGAGAAGCCCCTTCCCTCTATTCTGGAGGATGAGGAGGAACTCGACGAGGTCTTCCAGCAGTCGCCCGCCAGCCCCCCCCGCCGCAAGCTGCTGCTGAGCAGCCCGGCGCGCCGCGGCTCCCTGAGCAGCCTCCTGGGCGATGAGCTGTGCCAGGTCTCAGCCCTGCGACGCAACTGCCGCTCCCCGGCCCGCGGCAGCCGCGGCCGCAGCCCCTCTCCGCAGTGCCGGCGGGACGCCCGGCTCCTGGAGCGGGATGGCCAGAGGCCGGCCAAGCTCCTCATCCCGTCCCTGCACGCCAACGGCCCCCCGGACCTCAGCCCCAGGTACGGCTGGGACGTGCTTGTGGTTCATCCCACTGCTGCGGGTCTGTGCCCGCCAGGCTGCGAAGGGTCCCGGGGGGGTGCTGGAGGTGGTGACAGAGGGGGGAGGGGGTGGTGCGGGGCAGCTCTCACCCCCTCCCACTCTAGAGTCGTGGATGGGATTGAAGACAACGGGGGGACATCAGAGCCACAAACCTTCTGCTTCAACATGGACCCGCCGCTGCTGAGCGCGACGAGGGACTCCCCCACCTCAGGTACCGCCAGCAATGCCGGCCAATGCCAGGGCTCCGGCCCCGGGACGGGGGGCTCGGGGAGCCCTCTGCCACCAGCCGTGTCCCCCCCGGCAGGGACCGACGTGGGCGGCCCAGTCCTGGCGATGGAGGCAGAGCAGATAAAGCAGAACATCACCAGGCTCAACCAGGAGGTGCGGCGGCGACCAGGGGTGGGCACGCGTCCCCGGGAGCCCCGGGGGCACCGCCCGGTGCTCACTGCTCTCCATCCCTTCCAGATCAACCACCTCAACCAGGAGGTCTCGCACCTCAGCCGGGAGCTGCAGGGCATGATGGAGCTGCTCAAGGGTCACCTCGGCGCCCTGCAGCCCCCCGCCTGCCCCTGCCGCCTGCCCGCGGCCGTCCCGCCGCCTCTCCGGCCCCCGCCGCCCGCTGCCCCGGTGCCGTCCTCGCCTCCCGTGCCCCCCTCGCCCCCGGTGCCCCCCAGCTCTCGCAGCTCCCCCTCCGCCAGCCCCCGGGCCAAGCGCTGTCCGGTCCGCAGCCTCTCTGCCCACGCCGCCGCCCTGCGGCACCCCTGGGTCGGAGCCGAGGGGCCGAGCCCGCCGCGGGGGAACCCCCCCGGCCCTGACCCCCGCCGGGGCTCGGATTCGCAGCCCCCCCCGCTGCCGCCCCGCTCCGCCCTCTCCTTCCCCGGCTGCTCGGCTGGGGCTTGGCCCCGCGCCCGCCCGGAGCCGCGGTCCGGCTCCACTAGCTCCCACTGACCCCGCGGGCACCGGGGGCCGGGACCGGGGGAGCCGGGACCGGGGTGACCCCGCCGGGGGGACCCTACCCGGGGTGACCCCGCCGGGGGGACCCTGCCCGGGGTGACCCCGCCG